TACGCGTACCGCCCGGCGCCAGCCAGCCCTCCGGTAACGCCCGTACTGAAGGGGCAAACGGCCGGCGCGCCTGACCACCGGCCTCCGCCCGAGCCCGAGCCCGGGGCTGCTGCCGCTCGGCTCTCGCGGGTGCCGCCGCGCTAGCGCTGCCGTTCACCTCGCGGGCAGAGGGCAGCGTGCTGGTGATGCGGCAGGATCCTGACCGATGTCCCCCTCAGAAGCCATGTATCTCTTTCCCTGCTGTAGGCACTCAGCAGCACGCTTGCTTTTCCCTGCAGGCTGGGATAACGGGAAGGTAGCCTGTGGGATCTGCTCTCTCCTGGAGTCGAATTGGAGGGCGGGCGGTTTTTAGTGGGACTTCTGAAGTGTTTTCCTCTGAGAGTGGAGAATTATGTAATGGGAATTTTCAGTGACTCCCTGTCACTGTAAGGGAGTGTCACTGAAGCTACTGAGGATGTTTCATTAATTTTTTCTCAATCGAATTGTTGGCATAGCTTGTGCAGCTGAAGTGATGTATATATAGACAAAAAAAGCAGCATATGTTAAAGTGTACTTGACATTATTTTGGTAAGAAATACATTTGCTGTAGAATTAAGATTACTTTTTTGTCTGTCATAGTCTTCTCTCTTAGCAAAAGTGAAAAGAAAATCAGGGCCTGTTTCCAGGATGCTTTGACAGTTTGTACAAAAAAAAAAATTAAAAAAAAGAGTGAGCTTTTAAATGTCACATTGGAACAAATTGAAGTCTTTCTTCCTCAGATAAAGTCTTTAAAGACTTCAAGAAGTAAGCGGGCCTTAAGCTGAAATCTTAAAGATCACCATTTGTGCAGTCAGAATAGTGGCCTCTCCAAGCTTAGGAACCAGCTGGGGTGGGATGGGGAAAAGGTGATTGCTCTGCAAAAAAAGGTTGGACAGAAAACTACAATAGGATAAAGCTACAAGAGCCAGAGCTCCAGTTCCAGCCTAGTATCCCAGGAAAACAAGATGAGGGTATCATCTTTCTGTCATTCTCCAGCAATCTTTTTCTTCCTTTCAACTGTATGGCAAAAAGTTCACAGCTTCTGTGTTCCTGCAAGTTTAGAAAAGCAAGCAAAAGGGTGGAAAGGTCCTGTTGGGTTTTCTATTAAGATCTCTGGGTAGGAGCTCAAAACAAACCACAGTGGGTTCCACAGTGAAGGCATTCCTCATAAACTCCTCAACCATGGGAAATGTCCCAACTTGTGCCTTCTCTGATGACCGAAGCTGGTTTGCATCAGTATACGGATCAGAGGCAGACCTAGCTGCTTTAACTGAGGTACCCACCATGCTACTTGATTGTGTATCACTGAGGCCCCTGGCATCAGCGTTATGCGTCTGAGGAGTGAAACCAAGGGCTTCCTCACTCTGTGCACAGCTGCACACCAATGAACACCGGTGGCACTTCGCTCAGCTGCTGCAGCGGAGAAAGGGGGAGCCTGTGATTGCATTGTTTTCTCTCCCTTTACCCTGCTCATCCGTGCCCTGGGAAGATGCCAGCACAGCGCAACTGGAGCCTTTGGGGTGTATGTGTACAAGTAGGGGTTTGGGAGGTAGAAGATGTGTTGAGGTAATGCCATGTGTGGAGGAAGAGAAGAACCCCATATCACCTTCTGCTGAAGTCCGGTAATCAGCAGTCTATCCGCCCTTATCATGTCCTCTGGAAAAATATCCCTTCCCTTCAGAAGGGTCAGACTGTGTGGACAAGTTATGTATGCGTGTGAAAAGGTTGGAAGGGGCCGCAAAAGGATGTTTGAGAAGAAAAATCTCAGCTTTCACCCAGAGCTTTCCCAAGCTTTCTGGATCTTTTTATCCATAGCTTTAGTACTGTGGATTTAATGGTATCAAGTTATCTTACAAGAGATTTCTTGATACACTTAGGGTAATACCTTTTCTGGGTAAACTGGTTGAACGTGAAATGAATTCTTCCAAGCAAAGACTTAAGTTGTGTAGCCACTCCCATTGCTGAAGTGTATTTTAACCTGAGTTTTCAACCTTGTGAATCTGCTTTTCCCACAGCTCTTTTGTTGATCTATGCATATGTCTAATATTACATATACGCAGTGAGGTTAGGAGCAAGGACACAAAAAGGCTTGTGTATACAAGACCCACATTTTCTCTGTCTGCATGCTGTAGCTTAGGTCGAAAACATTCCCCCTGGATGCAGGCAGAGCTGAGATAGCAGACTGGGCAGTACCATGTGATCCTGCCGGCCGGAGTGCCCGGGTAGCAGTGAGATGTGTGGTACCATCCTAAGGGTGTCTGGTGTAAGTGCTGTACCTGATACGAGCATCAAACCAGTTTGGAAGTGTTCCTCATCTTTTCTATGTTCTCTTGGCCAGCAGAGCAGCGTCAATAATGGGAAGAGGCTCAAAATGGCATAAGCCTTTTTGCGGCTCCAGCAAACTCATCTCTTCTGTCTCTTAATTTCTGTTTACTATGTATAAGGACTTGGCCTAAAGACTGACTTGCAGCTATTGAGTATGTAGGAGCCTGACACCTTCTCATTAATCATGTGTTCCCCTCCAGAATTCTGTTTTTATTGCCTGTTCCTGCTGGTCAGCCAGAGAGCTGAGGAGTCCTGCCGGCCATTCCCTATCTGCTTCAACTTGCGCTGCTACCTTGTGCAGTGCAAGGAGATTTACTGGACATTCCTGCAGATTAGTGATTGATGATCCTTTTTCCACAAAACTAGATCCCCTGTTGATTGAAGCTGGCACTTATATGGAGAGCACTACCATTCCTCTCCTGAGCACATACAGAGATTTACTTTGCAAGAGATCCAGGGAGCAAGACAAAGGAGAAACATAGATACCCCTGGGTCTTGTCCCACTTTGTAGTTAAGCCATAACTGTGGTGTGTTTTCCAACCCAGAAATAGCTGAGTGACAGAATTTGTATAATCTCTGACAGAAAGGCAGAATTAAACACTACGAGATGAAAAATAAGGGGGGAAAAGGCAAGTAGTATCCTTGGGAAGGAAATCACTGCCAACAGCTCTTTTCTCCAGCCAAATCAGGTTGCAAGTGCCAAATAGCTGTCCCCTAACATTCAAATCAGTGTTGAGAAGGCCATGTCTGCTATTGAGGGTGATAATTTCTCTTTGTGTTGACCCAAAATTAACATGTTTAGTAAATCATGTGGAAACAGATCCTGAAGTGCAGGCTGGCATCAGATAATGCAAATGAATAATAATACTTTTTGAGGGATAGGGTTATTGTAGCTGTGATTTTAATTTTTTTTAAGGCATAGGCAAGACAAGTTTTGTAGGTAGGAATCTTGTTAAACCAAGTAGTTCAAAAAAGTAATGCCTAAACACTTTTTTCAACAGTACCAGTTGGTCTATTAAAAGATATTATCTCTACTTACAAAACTGGCCTTGCTTAATGTTATTGAAATGGATCAAAGGAAATGCTTCTAAAAAAAGTTTTCAAATAATCTGAATTTAACCTTTAAAGTCTATCATTATAGTGTATCATTAAGAAAAAAAAGTTAGCAAGATTTACAAAAATACAAGCATAATCAGAGTCCACAGTAATATTAGACAAGAATTTAGCATTTGCTCATTTATTTTTTTGAAGGAAGAGTAATAAAGCCTGATAGTTCAGGATATACACCAACTGCTGTCTGAAGTCTAAGGGAAATTGCCACTCTTTTGAGGAGATGATTCCACAAAATTAAGGGGCTTTTTATCTTCCTTTGAAATGTTTGAGAATTACTAATAGGGCAGTCAGGATATTGGCTTGAATAAGTAGGACCAAACTGCTGTGGCAATACCCGTGTGTCCCTAACTAGGCGGTTGTCTTTACTAGCAGTATCTGGAAGAAACTAAATGTTGCTCGTAACTCAGCTCCCATTCACATGCAAAAAGAAATTCATTCCCACTCAGTGAAGTCTTGAATTCAAATCAAGTAGCAAATCAGGAGCTGACCCTGAAGTGCTCCCGCTAACACCTACATTCAAAATGTATGCTAACACCTGTGTTAATAATGTATAAAGCGGAGGTCTAGCCCTAAGCTAGAGTTCATATTAGTACAAGCACTAAAATATAAGTCTGATTTAACTGTGGTAGTAATCCAGTCATACATTTTAGCTAGAGTTTCTTGCCATGTGGCTACTCCCACTGGGGCTGGCTTTATCTAACTGGTGCAGTGAAGACCAGCCATAGTGTGACATAACTTGGATAAAATACTTGGTAACAGAAAGCACTCTTTCGTGGTGGAAAAAACCCAACCCAGCCTACTCACTTGGAAGAATGCTTTACGTGTGTATGACACATTTGTTTAACTGTCTCTACCCTCAGTCCAGCACCTCTGGGAATAAGCCAATATGCCAGATTTTATAAATTTATTTTGCTTCCATCCAATAGATATAAACTGTCCTAGCTGATAGCATCTTTCACAGAAGCTTTTAAGCCGAAAACTTGACGTATGCATTGAGACTTCTGATACCAGATCAGCTGAATCACCAGCAACAGTCTCGTGATTAAGAAAGTTAGTGTTAGTTTCATCTTGTCGCAAGCACAAAAAAGTGTAAGACCTTCAATGGCATCCCAGCAGCTTCCAGTGCTGAGTGCATTAAGTGAAAGAGAAAACAAAGCACTTTACTTACTTGCCAATTTTAAATCAAAGGACACATGTTTGTGTGTATGTAAGTGTTCGGACAGGTCATTGCCATGCCACCCAACTGCCCATGAGCAGTAAGTAGCTGGGGTAGATGTCTAGTAGTTTCAGAACAGAAGCACAAAGTGTCTACTCCCTGGTTTCTGAGGGCAAAACCTGTATGGAGGTATGGTGTTGAAAGGGATACAAGAAAGTACAAGAAAAACCATGGATTTACTGGAGTAAGTCCAGTGAAGAGCCATGAAAAAGTTAAGGGATTGGGGTATCTGACATGCGAGAAGGGGGTGAAAGGACTGGGGCTATTTATCCTGGAGAAGGGAGCCTTGGATCTTACCAATATGTATAAATATCGGGGGGGGGGGGGTGCTAGACTCCTTTCTGTGGTACCCAGTAACAGGACCAAAGACAATGGGCACAAACTGAGACACAGGACATTCCCCTAGAATGTCAGGCAGCACATTTTTACTGCAAGGGTGGTTGAGTGCTGAATAATTACCTGGAGAAGTTGTGGACTCTCCATCCTTGGAGATATTTAAAACCTTACTGGATGTGCTCTGGGGCAACCTGTGCTAGCTGATCATGCTTTCAACGTGGGACTGAGCTAAGTGATCGCCAGAAGTGTTTTCCAACCTCATCCATGCTGGGACTGAGTACCAGTGAGGGCTGTGGAAAACAAAAAGGCAACCTGCCAGCTAGGAAATCTTGTTGCCAGCATGACATTTCCCTGCTTGCAATGATTTCTCTAGGGCCTGTGGAATCCTCTACTTCCTTTCCCAGTTTTTGAATCCTTGCAAATGTGTACCTCCCTAGTTTTCATATAATTTCAGCACCTTCCTTTGAACTGCATCACATACAAACTTGTCTCCAGCACCAGAGTACAATGCTATTGCCCCAGTCTTCTAGGGCAGTCTTGTGAGAGATCATCCGCTTGTCTTTGCTAATGATGGTGGTCTCAATGCCATTTCCCCCATTGTCCCTGCAATTACCTATGGGACATTTTCTGTGGCTTCTTTTACCTATGATATGTCTGTCTATTTCTAGTCCATCTACATTTTTATTTAATCTACCCTAATTCAAAAGAAGCTATTTACCAGGTATCAGTAAAAAATAAAAATATATAGGTATCACCTCTGACAGGTTTCTGGGAACACCTTACTGATGCTGAATTTATTTTTTAGGGATTCTTTTTATTCAGGTTCTGTACAATTGCAGAATGAATGCTTAGTCCCTAGCAAGTAAAACTGTAACTGATTGAATAATGTAATAAAATATACTTTTAGATATAAACTGTAACAGTTGAATGAATAATAAAAATACCCCAGCCTATCCTGTGGGATCATGGGGCAGATGCTCCAGCTTATCCCTTAAAATTGGATCCACTTTCTGCCTGGGGCTGTGACGTGGGGCTGTGGAAGCTGGGGAGACCCTCCTGCTCCTCTGTGATGTCCTGTCCTAATACAAACAAGAGGCCTTGCTGGGGTGAGCAACTTCAGCCAGGGCCAGGATGGTTCTACCCTTTACACACCAGTGACTGGGAGACAATGATGAGGCAGGTCCTGGCATGCTACACTCCAAGGAAGGCAGCAAGTGGGGACAGTTAAGAGCAGAGGGGCTATGTCCCTAGAGGCTCATGTCTGAGGGTGAGCCTGGAGATCTTTATTTTTATCCCCTTGACAAATCATTTGCAAAACGACTTCAGAGCAGCTGTAGCTTAGTATAAACCTCCTGTGGACAGTGCTAGTTCCCTCTTCCCCTAGCGTAAACACAGCCCCATGCCAAAAACCTGCTCCCCATCCATTGGCTCATGGAAGTGACCACAGCAAGTCCTCTGTCACCAGCAGACCAAGCACTCACCCAGCACAAGAAACCTCCCTCAGCCCACGATGACATATATGACAGGGTGTTCCCATGGAATCACACAAACTTTGGATTGTTTTTTTAAGCTCTTTAGCTTGGCAGTGACACTTGTTCTCCCCCTCATCAATACTCAGATAAATTATGCAGACTGCCGGTGCACGAAAGCAGAAACTATAACTGTTTCAAAAATAAGAATTGAAGTGAGACAGCAAAAAAATCAGCTGAACTAAATTTAGCCAAGAAAATAGGTTTGTGTAGAAGTGTGAGAGAAGAGGTAAAGAGATGGGCAAGGACTGTGCAGCTGGAGTGGAGGCAGCTGTTTGGCTTGGCAGAGGCATTCTCTGACAGAAGGAAGATGCTCCCCAACTTTCAGAGAGGCCCCTCTTCTCCCTGTACCACAGTGTTTCCTTCAGGCTGAGGTCTCAGGACCTCGATTTTGAAGAAGTGGTTTCACTGTGGGCAGTGACGTGCACCCTTAAGCCACCACCTGCACAACTCGGTTTCACTCACTGGGGCTGGGGCACTGCAGGGCATCACCAGCCATGGCAGCAGTCTGGCCCCGTGGCCACCCTGATGGAAGCACATTTCAGCTAGCAGGTACAGTCTCCTCATGCTCCTCCTTGGACCCTTTCCTCTCCATTTCCCACTCTCTCGCTGCATCACTTCGCACCTTTCCTTTCTTTCTCCTTTGACTTCTTATCCATTCATTTTCTCTTGCATCTTTTCTTTTCTGGCCCACCTTTCTCCTCTCTTCTGGACATGCTCTTCTCCCTTCCATGACCCTAATTTCTCCCAGTCCAGCCTGGCTTTTGCTGTCACTGCATCTGACAGATTTCTTGCTCAAGTATTTAACATCATTAAATAAGAGTATTAAAGTATTTAAGAATACTGGGTTTTTTTGTTTTCTTCTTCCTGGTGTAAATGTGTTCCTGGTGTTAATGCTAGCTTGACCTGATCACATTAAGTAATATATCTGCAGTCTCCCAGGTAAATAATCTGCTAATCAGATACCTTAGTAGAGTAGAATATGAATATGATGCATCTGTATCTTAACAGGTTTTGTTGTTGTTATTCAATGACCTAAATAGAAGAAGGCACGATATTAATATCTGAAAGTGCCTTTAATTTTTTATTTTTTTTTTTCCTGGTTAGAGGGAAGAGTTTTGGATTTTAAACTTGATTTCCTCTACCAAAAATCTTCCCAACAATTAGCTGTTAAGAGAAAATGAAATAGTGTTTGTTTCCATCTCAAATGCCTGAAACTATTCTTCTCTAACCATAAAATGAATGTCTTGCTCCTATCAAACATGATCTTGCTGATTCAAAATCCAGGACTGAAAAAAAAAAGACAGTGTTTCTTTTTCCCGATTGATGCAGTTCTGATGCATGCCTGGGAAAGTTGTTTAACTAACTGCGGTCCATTTTTAGCTGTATATACAAGGATAATAATACTTACTTCAAAGAGCAATTGTTAGATATTATTCATTCATGGTTGAAAGTCTAGGTTGAGCTATTTGAAGAGAAGGTGGAGTAGAAATGAAAATGAGTATTCTATGATCTCATGCTTTGCATGACTGATGATACTACTACTAAGCAAACCCTGTCAAAGAGGGTTTTTTGTGTTTTCTTCTTGACTGAGCTTTGCTAGTCTTGCAGGCTGCATACCAAAGTAAATAAAAACGGTTAGCATTTGGGATGTGATGGTGTCCAAAGGCCATTGCAAGGGATAGACTTCAGCAGGGCTAAGAGACAATTCTTCAAAGACAGCAAAAGGTGTGAGAGCCCCAAGGGGTGATTTTCTCCAGGACAACTGATGTTCTTTCTGTTGAGGTGTCATTTAGTCAAGGCAAAGTATGTAGGGAGGCGGTGTTACTTCTTGTAAGGCTAGCTGTTACAGGAAAAAGCAGCAAATCTTTTGGACATACAAACCAGCTAGGATTTGAAGGATCAGATGTGTAGCTGACAGCAGAAAGCCTGAGAACTGCTAGCTCCATACATCTCTCTATAGCAGATCACTCTTTAAAAGCAACTTTGATGTCAATATCATAAGCATTCAATTAATTATATGTAATTTCTTAAATATACGTGTGTTCCTGTTAAGAATCTATAGGCTGTCTAGAGATAAAACCTTGTATTTGTGTACTTGATGGAGAATATCCATATAATGAACTAGAATCATCAGAAACTGCAACACTTCACCAGCAAAGAAAAGCTAAACGGTAATAACACCTAGAGGAGAATTTCCACAGTATCTGTAGACTTAGGGCACCACATCAGTCTTTAAATTATCGTCTCAGAACTTCAAAAGTTGCAGGAAAGAAGAAGCATCTTGCCTGTGCTATTTGCTGGAAATAAATGCTTCCCAGCAGCAAGGAATGTAATCACAAAAACCTTAGAAAGCGATATATAGAATACAATATATATGTAAATACAGCTATATACATTAAAAGCACTATTCCAGTTCCTCATGTTCTTAACTTTTTCTGGTCATCCCAAGCAATAGCTTGTGTTTAAAGAGCATACAATCTAGCATACAATTAGCCTTGCATTAGTAGTGGATGAGTTGGGAGGGTGGATTGGGCCTGGGAAGTGAAGCAGTAGTAGTTTTGTGTTTTACAAATTAGAGAATTTAGTGATGAACAGAGACTTTCGGTGACCTTTCTCATGAGGGAAGTTTTCCATTAGCAACTGCTCTTGCTCTTGTTCATGAAACCCACAACTTCAGGGGATGGAGAAATGAAGCTGTGAGATGCTGACTGAGATCTCCCTGTGGCTGGCAAATAAGAGGAAATTTTATATGTGCAAGAACTGCAGGCTCAGGCCCTAACAAGCTCTGGATTAGACAATGGTGTGTCTGATTGCACAAAAAGTATAGGACAATACTTTTGAACACCCCTTCACAGAACATACAAGTGTCCATTACATTCCTATGGCAGAGACCCAGGAACAGATGGGCCAGCACACTTCTCCTTCCTCAGGAGAACCCCAGAAACGCTTGGGACCCAGTCACCTGCAGGATCTGTCCATCTCCCAGCAATACACTGATTTCTCTCTGAAGAAACAGCTGACAAACATTCCAGAACAAGTTCAGGCACCAAGCCCTGCCACTGGCAGGAAGGTGAAATCAATGAGCACCCCAGGGGGAATCAAGTTTGATCCTGTCTCTTTCCCAAAACATGCAAAAACCTGGGTGCAAGCTAGCTGTGAATGTTGGATAAGGCCAGTACATGGTCTGCTTACTCAAGGAAACAGTCGTGCCCAGCAGAACATACTTACACAGTTATCTATCTCCAAGTACTTTGTGGACCAGAAGATAAGGTATCACTTCTGAAGATTCCTGAATCTGAAAGGGTTGTTTAGAAAAAGGGTTATTTTCCAGTAAAAGTAAATGCAATTTAAAACCATGTGTGATTTAATTCCTTGAGGTTTGACCCCACTTGCTTCATTCCCCCAAACCCCTCTTTTCACAAGAAAATTCCAGGTTACCCATATTTCAAGCTACTGAGAAGCTGGAAGATGCCCAGAGCACAGCCTGAGTCACAGGGCCACCCCCATGTCTCTGCCCAGTGGTGAATGTGTGTGTGCTGCTGTGGCTGCTAAGCAGTGACAGGTTTGTCAGAGGAGCAGAGCTGGGGACATCCTGCCCTTCTGCAGTATCCCCTTAGAGACTCCTTCCCATAACGACATCAAAATAATATAGCGCAGAGCATCTTTTGTTCACAGGTTTCTTAAAATGTAGCTTTCAAAAGACTTGAAACTTCATGGCCTAAACTCACCCAATTTTCAGGTTCTGCTCTGTTAGCTGAGAAGCTGGTTTGTGTAACTGGGTTGAGTTTTCTCTTTGAGGTTTTCTGAAGAACTTCATAGAGATGTTTGCTGTGAAAGGCAATAATGAACAGGTCCAGCAAACAGCAGTGGAAATTAAATTGGAGAGTAAAACATTTATGGAGCAAAAATGTGGAAGAGCAGGAGCGGATGACCAGTGAAAGCAGAAAGCAATTTCAGTTTTTTATAGTAACACTAGAAAAGGACAAGGACTGTTTAATCCCAGTGATTATACACTTCTAAAAAGAAAATAGAGACCAAAAAATCAGTCTAGAGCCAGCAAACAGAACATTTCTCAAATGGGTAGGAAGGGCTTATTCCCCATATGGCTTAATCCTAGTGATCTTAATAGAAATGCATTTAAGAAGATGCTCTAGGACTTTAAATGCAAAATGCTTCCTTAAGGAATCTGTAACCTTCAAACACAGATAATGCCCTAAAAATTGCTGGTATGGTTGAAGAATAGACTTTTCTTCTCTGTATTTTATGACAAATAAGATGATAAGAAAGCTAGACAGTGGATAAACATTGTGTGCCTATGTCCCATCCAAAGGAAGGAATGGCTCCCTATTTTTCTAAGATGTTTCCTTAAAAACTGCTGAAAAAAAACTGAACAGGGTAAACAAAAAGAAAAGCTACCTTATGGCCTGGATAATTAGCTCTGTTACTGTTGTAAAAGTAGACATTATTTACTCCTTTCTTTGTAGTCTAGGCTTAATGGTGTAGATAAGATTTCTAATGGGTGAGATACAAGAGCTGGATTGAAAAGTGTTTTATTGTTACAGCGTGCTCTTTAAGGAATATATTGGATTTTACATTTGTACAACTGCTTGGGAATTGCAATTCTTTTTCAACACTAACCTCATAATGATGCAAGTAAGAACAATTGGTTAGGGGGTTTCGTTCATTCTTACCAAATTTGGTACAAATACCAATTACCATTTTTATCAAATACCTTGGATTCGTTCTTTTCATATTTTGTAGCAAAACCATTCTCTCCTACTCTTCTTTCTGTCCATCCTTCCCCCTTGCACAGTTAAGGCCTTCAGTGTTCCCTCCTCAACCCCTTTTCCAGGAAAGAAAGGATACATTCAGCTATGGAAACTGTTGTTTTGATTCAAAAGAGAGGTTTTACAATACCAGGATGACTGCTAGTATCATTTCATTATCTGCCATCATCTGTTTTCATTCCTCTTTGAGGCAGAAATTTTTCTCCTTGTTAATGAGGTGCCAGGAATCTCATACCTTTGCCTTTAGGTGTTTAAATAAAGTGATCCTTGCTTGCAAGAACTTAGTAATTCCACTAATGTCAGTAGAAGTGTTAGAGTGTGTCAGGTAATGAGACTGGAGTACTTACACATGGAGTAGTTTGTTGGTTTGATTTTTTTAAGGAGTTAAAGCAAACTTACTTATGTCATTAGATGAGACGTACCTGTTTGCTTTTCTTCATGCTTGTCTATCCAGCTTTTTAACGGCATGAACATGCTATTTCCATGAGCAAACATCCTCTAGAGAACAGTCAAAAAAAAAGACAGCCCAATACCACTTTCTGATTCCTGAGGGACCTCTGTGGTCACCAGCAAAACGTTGCCCGCAGAATCATCCCTTTGTTTACAGGATCACAGAAATCTTGAGGTGACAAGGGACCTCTATAGGTCATCTGGCCCAACCTCACTGCTCCGTGATGGCCACCAGTGTCCCACTGTCTGGGTAGCTACTTATACAAGTAGCTTTTGAATATTTGACAATGGAATCCATTGCCTCTCTGGGCA